TTCATTATTTTATGCATTGAGGTACATAATCTTGAACTGTTCGATTATGTTTTTATGAAGTGTGTTACAATATTTTTTTTCACGGAGTGTTTTCATGATATTTCTTATTTTACCTTAAGTCTTTTATTGCAGCGTTGCATGAAGTGTTTGTGTACGCCTTTATTTGCTGGATGTATTTGTATGATGTGAAACTTTATTTGCCCTGTATGCATTTAGTTATCTACTTGCTGATGCTTTATGGTGTACATGGATAAAAACGATTTGTATGCATGCCGAATGCGCAAAGGAGTAAGAGCCTCTGTCAGGCCACATTTCCTTCAGCTTTTGTTCCTCTTTATCTAAAAACGAAAGAAAGAAAGTAACAGTTTTGCCACTGTCACGAGGCTGTTTAATAAGAAAGCTCTCGTGTAGGTTCGTGTAAAGCAAAAAAACCACCGATGACATAACCATCATCGGGAAATGAGCTGACGAGACCATTAGCTTCCACCCAAATCCCCAACACTCAGCTTATTTAGGAACCACTAAAAGACAAACAGCAGACAAAAACACAGCATAGATAACTAGAAAGAGGCTAGCAAGAAGAACAAACGGCTAAAGACGTGAACAGAGCATGGACATCAATGTTAAGGGGAAAATAAGCCTTGTCACAACGTAGCGGGACGCGGTGCTTGCAGCGAAGGCTGTGCTACCAAGGCATGGACGCACTCACGCAAACGATGACAGCGGTGATGCGGGGCATGCAATTGATGCGACCCAGTAATGGTGAAGACGCACTAGTGCAGCAGGGGAAAGAATGACGATTAGCTTGAGACGCTCACGTGGTTGACTGGCACGGAAGGAAGCGTAAGGCTGGTTGAAGTCCGTGACCTTTCGGCGTTCGGCAGCTGCAGCTCGGACACGAAGCCGGAGACGTTTCTTGGCCAACGCCAGAAGACCAGAACTAGCCTGGCCCAGGTAAGGTGATGAGAAGCAGCTCTGTGTCCAGATTGGAGCCCGCTGGAACCTTAATGGAGGAGCTCAGCTGGCCGCCACTCCCGCGCCCTGACCACCTTCTTCACTCGGTCCCGACTCGGCCACGTCTGCCCACAGCTTCGCTGTTCTTCTCGAGATCTCTCCTAAATCTCCGTGGAGGGACCTCGTTGGACCAAAATGTCACGCCCCCACGTGCCGCAACCGAGCGTTATCTTCATCGTCTTCTGGCTGATGGAGTGGCGCACTTTTTAAACGCGGACAATCACATCACAAAAGCCCGACTTTCGAAAAGTTTTTTTCGCTATGAAAAAACTGCAGATAAGTGCGCGTTTCACCACACACAACAAACATCCTGCCCATCATTCACTACAATCTTACTATCAATCCACTCATAGTACCTTGCACAGTCAAACACTATCTCTTTAAGTCCACTTTACAGTTCACAGCCAAGCTACAGCCTTCTGCTAAATAAATCACAATTTTTGTGAAATTCAAGTTTTAAACCCACAATATGTACAAATGATGTTGTCAATGTGGTCAAAATCCAAATGCAGCGACCGGTTATTTGAACTCGACTCTCAGGTTATAGCGTCCCACACCAGGCGAACAGAATATTTCTTTCTTTCATCTGAATGCAAAACAAAAACCTTGCAGCATTTTCGATTACAAATCTGCCTGTAGTTATGCCTCGGGATTTATTCACATGATCATCAGCCATGTCAATGGCATCAGTCACTACAGCTGGCGACATGCAGACACTACAACAACTCCGTCTGAGTTTTCCACTTGGCTTGCACACAAGTCACATGCTTCTTCATATAACGTCTTTTTTTTCCAAACTGAATGATTTCGTAGTTGCTTCCTGCTCTTCACACGGAACGCTGCACTTTATACTTTGACATGACGTAATTATTACGCCATGTTCAGGGGAGCTAACTGTATGTTCCCCAACAATGCCTGTGCCACTGCTTACATCTGCCAGTGTTTTACAGAATGACTCTACGGCTACGGCCTCAGAGTTGTCTACAAGGCATAGGCTCCTTGCTATGTCAATTGTCTTACTTTGCACCGGAAGAATCGGCATCTCTTCTAGAGACTGCTCCTTGCTTTTCGGATGTGCACTCTATGCGAACATCAACCACCCTTCCATCAGGGTTTTCTAGAGAACTCCATACCTCTTCTAAAACTGTGCATTTGGTTGCACCAGTTCGTTTAGCCACGTGGCTATTTATGGAACTTGACTGTCCCTTCTCTGAAACTTCCTGCGAAGCCGCATTGATCACGGTCACCAAACCTCGTCTGTTCTCGCCGTCACCCTTCCCTTCAACTCTGCCGTTCACTTGTAGGGAATCCGCACCTAAAGTTTCATCAGAAGCGTTCTCAAGTCTGCTTTCGAAATTACTAATGAAGGCCCTACTATCAGAGCACACATCGATTATCCGCTCTTTGGAGCTCAGATACGAAAATTCCTCTTCCCAGTCTCTACCTGTTAAGCCTCGTTCACACTGAAACATCCGCCTTCTACAGCGACCGAAATTCCCCTGCCGCCGAAGCGCAGCGTCGTTCGTACTGGACGCGCACCGCGACGCCGAATATGCCATTCACCATAGGACGAATGCTGGGCGAATGCGCTGTCACCCGGTCGTTGTCACTTGTCGCAAACGCTACTACGCTATCCGGTGGTCTATACTTCGATGATTTTCGTACGCAAGAAGCAAGAAAAGACAGTACTGCTTACTTTGCTGGCAAATGGCTGTCTTGTAGTGCACGAAGAGCAGAAAAACCACCGACGCCAGCGGCGTTGGTGGGTTCGTTCTGCTCTGCAAGACCGCAACAAGCTCGGTAACGCCAACAGCAAGCTCAGTCACCTCTTTCACGAAATACGGAGGCGAAGTAGGCACAGAGTAGGTTAAACTCCCGTTGGTTTCAACATTCAGTTACGTGCACTGCGGCCTAACAAGTGAGTAGGGCTTGGCCACCATTTTTCAAAATTCCTTGACTAGCGCTCCTATTGGTCCGCGGTGACCGACTCGGCGGCAGACGCCGCAAAAATCGGTGCGAGAGAGATCGGCGCGGAGAGGGCCCTTTCGGCGGATCTCGCCGCCGCCGAACCGGATTCGAAGCACTTTCGGCGGCCGGAATGCTCAGTGTGAACGCGGCCTTAGTCCTCTCGCTTCGGCCTCCGCCAGTTTCAGACGCAGTTGCAGGTTTTGGTTCTCTATTTCAAGCTGCTCCTTCTTCGCGCGTGTGTCCAGTTCGAGCTGTTTTTGTTTCTCGCACGTCTTGAGCACAAGCTGCTCCTTCTGGGCCTTCTGTTTCAGTTCCCTTCCAAACTCAATTTCCTCTTCTCTCTTTTTGCGAATGCGCCTCTCGCATTCCACACACCAAGCCACCATTTCCTCGCCACTTAGACCCATGCGTCTTGCCAACTCCTTTAGGTCTGCCCTACTCATGTTCCTGTACTAGTGTGGAGAGGTAAGTCGAAAATGGTCTCGTCCTGTCGCTTGACGCCAATTCTCACGAGGCTGCTTTATGGGAAAGCTCTCGTATAGATTCGTGTAAAGCAAAAAAAAACCACTGTTGACATAACCGTCATCGGGAAATGAGCTGACGGGACTATTTGCTTCCACACAAATCCCAACCACTCAGCACTGTTATAAACACCTAAAAGACAAATAGCTGACAAAAACACAGCATAGATAACTAGAAAGAGGTTAGCAAGAAGAACAAACGGCTAAAGACGTGAACAGAGCATGGACATCAATGTTCAGGGGAAAATAAGCCTTGTCACAACATAGCAGGACGCGGTGCTTGCAGCGAAGGCTGTGCTACCAAGGCATGGACGCACTCACGCAAACGATGACAGCGGCGATGCGGGGCTTGCAACTGATGCGACCGAGTAACGGTGAAGACGCACTCGTGCAGCAGGGGAAAGAATGGCGATTAGCTTGAGACGCTCACGGGGTTGACTGGCACGGAAGGAAGAGTCGGGCTGGTCGAAGTCCGTGACCTTTCGGCGTTCGGCAGCGGCAGCTCGGACACCAAGCCGGAGATGTTTCTTGGCCAACGCCAGAAGACAAGAACCAGCCTGGCCCTCGTCAGGCGACGAGAAGAAGCTCTGTGCCCAGGTTGGAGCCCACTGGGACCTTGATGCAGGAGCTTTGCTGGCCTCCACTCGCTCGCCCTGGCTACCTTTTTCACTCAGTTCCGACTCGGCCACGTCTGCGTATAGCTTGACTGTTCTTCTCCAGTGGCTCTTCTAAATCTCAATGGAGGGACCTCATCGGACCAAAATGTTCACGCCCACACTTGCCGCAACCGAGTGTTATCTTCATCGTCTTCTGGCTGATGGAGTGGCGCACTTTTTAAACGCGCACAATCACATCACAGCCACCAAGGCGAAGCAATAAACGCAATAGCAACAATTTGGAAGGTCGCGCGCAGAATGGAAAGCAGATGTAAACGTGCCCCGTGTTTTTCATGCATAAATGACGCACGAAACGTACTCACCGATACAGATGCACGCGAATAATCATCTGTGTTGTTACTTCACTGTACCTGAAAAGCGCGTGTTTTTTTGCAGACGGAGACTACAATGATTGCAGCGGCCTTTGTGTGTCTGGTATCTACAACGGAATTGTTCCGGCTAAAGCCAAAGGCCAGCCAAGACGTACGATCCTCCCTTTCTCTTCATTGCGAGAAAGGGGCACGCTTGAGAACGTCACTCTTCCTCTCCAAGCGGGACAAATTACGCGGGGGAGATTACAGCGCGCGCCACCGCGCGATGTGGCGACACGCGCTCATTGCGCTCTCTTTGCGGTGATGCTGAGAACAAGACAATTACGCCCCAGCCCTCCGAAATTCCCGTGAGCAGCGGTACATAGTGAACGAATAAACCAGTCTTCGTGATGCGTTCAAACTGAAAGGACGTGTTTTTTCTCTGTCGTCGTCTCACTAGAAAAAGTCTGCCTCCCTGCTATTCCGCCACAACATTTTTGGTGCCAAAACCGGGAATTAGGGACCCAAAGATGGACATCGACAGGATGAAGCGCAAAAGGGCCGTGGTGCGAACGTCAACAACAAAGCTGCTCAATGACATCGCTACCATGGAGGACGACGCGTCACTCGGTGAGCTTGAAGAAAAGAGATCAACCTTCTCACCCTTAAGGAAGACTCACTCAAAGAGCTAGATCGGGAAATTGAGATTGGCGTAGAAGATGATGCATTAGAAGAGGAAATTGCATGCTCCGAGAACTACAAAGAAAAGATCAACGTAGCAAGGACTAAAGTACAGCTCATGCTACGTGAGCGTAGCTGCACTAACGCCGCATCAGTGAGCGCTTCGCTAGATCGCACCTCAAGTTCCTCAGATCAAAGAGAATCTAGCCGTAACATCCCGCAAGTAACCCCCACAGTAAAGCTGCCAAAACTAGAGATAGCAAAGTTCAACGGCGAGCTTCGACAGTGGCAAGGCTTTTGGAGTCAGTTCGACACGACAATAAACGCTAACCACCACCTGTCAAACGTGGACAAGTTCAAGTACCTGAACAGTTACTTAACAGGAAAAGCTGCGGCTGCTGTTGCGGGTCTTGATTTGTCCGACGGAAACTACGAAGTTGCTCTCTCGCTGTTAAAGGAAGGTTCGGTCGTAAAGAAGCCATAATCGAGGATCAAATGTCCAGACTGCTCAATATCAAGTCAGTGCGTGACTCGCGGAACCTCAGCCAACTTCGGAGCCTCGTTGACGAAGTAGAGAGAGGTGTACGGAGCCTCACTTCTCTTGGCGTCGGTGTCAGCACGTACGGAGCTCTGCTCCTGACAGTAGTAAAGAAGGCGGTGCCTGCGGACCTTCATCTCGAATACTGTCGACGAAAGGGCGCTACTACAGGAGGCAGTGAACTGGAGGCATTTGCGCATTTTTTGAGAGTCGAGGTAGAGGCACGGGAGATTATACAGCGGGCCGAAACACCAAGGGGCATGTGTGTAGAATCGTCTGTCGAAAACCGTAACAGCACCTTAAAGCGGCGAGAATGTCTTCAGCCGCTGCACTGCATACCATGACCAAGGAGAGAAAAGGGTGTGTTGTTTTGTTCGTCAGGGTGCCACGAAAGCGGTGACTGCGATGCAGAGATGTCGGCAGCTGATAAAAGAGAAATGCTGAAGCGTGAGAATAGATGTTTCCGCTGCACAGTAAAGGGGCACACGTCAAGAGAGTGCCGTAAGGCCAAATGGCTCAGGTGTGCCAACTGTAGCGGAAAACACCTCACGGCTATGTGTGATCCTGATTTCAGAGAATACCGTGGCAGTGGTGAACAGAATGCATCCTCTCCAACAGCGACAGGACAAGCCACAGTGCTAAAGTCTTCTCTAGGCTCAGAGGAGAAATTTATGTGCATGGAGGGGCATCAGTTTCTTCTGCAAACAGCACGAGCTTGGACAGTGGGACCGCACAAAAGTACGCTTGTCAGGCTTCTCCTAGATGGTGGCAGTCAAAGGACGTTCATCCATCGCAAGTTGTCTGAAAGACTGCAGTTGAACGTGCTTGGGGAAGAGGAACTTAAAATCTATGCCTTCGGCGACAAGTCCGCTATAACCCGCACTAAAGCGCGTCTGGTCGAGCTGTGGCTGCAAAGCCAGTACGACGGGAAAAGGGCGCGAGTGGAGGCCTCGAAGTCCCTGCATCTGCGCAGATATAATGGCTGCGCCTTTAAAGTCAGTTCTTCTGGAACTTTCGAAATTTGGCTTGCCAGTCGCGGACGTCGCGCAGGGTGACGGAAGTGAAAACATTGATCTTCTGATCGCGCGCTGATCATTATTGGGAAATTGTCACGGGATCCACTAAGCGCCTAACCTCCAAGCTGATGGCAGTAGAAACTGCATTTGGGTGGACAGTCCAGGGCCAGGTAGGCGCAAAAAGGTCCAGGAGTCTGTCCCTCTGTTGCTGGCGTAATGCGAGTAGCAGTGAGCGAACAAACTAACAAAGAAATATCAGCACAGTTGAGGTCATTCTGGGAGCTCGAACACATTGGTATCCAGGAACACGAACCAGCTCGCCACCAAGACGCAATCCACAGCACTACAAAGAAACCGTCAAATTTGAGCATGGGCGGTACACAGTGTCTTTCCCCTGGAAGCCTATGGTTGATGAGCTCGACGACAACTACGAGTGCGCCGCGAAGCGTCTTAGAGCCAACACGACGCGCCTTTTGAAGGGAGATTCCTTGATCGTGGAATATGACGCCTGCCTCCGAGAATACATCGAAAAGGGCTATGCAGAGCCAGCCAACAAGCATTGCAGCGCTTCGGAAGGTCCGGTGTATTACATGCCACATCAAGCAGTTGTTCGACAAGAAAGCCTGACAACAAAAGTGAGGGTGGTGTTCGACGCATCATCAAGTGCCAAAGATCGCCTCTCACTGAATGATGTTTTGGAAAGTGGTCCAAAACTTAATCCAGAGCTCATTGATTTGTTGATCAACTTCCGCACTTACAACATCGGCATCGTCGCGGATATTGAAAAGGCATTCCTTCAAATATCTCTGTCAGAGGGTGACCGGAACGCTGTGCGGTTTCTCTGGTATGCTGCCACTCCGAAGAAAGGTGAAGAACTTCCAGCGGTGGCGGCCTACCGGATGACGCGCGTTCCGTTCGGTGTTACATCCAGCCCATTCCTATTAGCCGCAACATTACGACACCATCTTGAAGGACTCCCAGAGCCGTATGCTGAGACTGCGAACATCCTGCGCAGCCATCTCTATGTTGACGACCTTGTGACAGGGGTCGACACCCTCGAACAGGGTAAAGTGCTATGCCAGGAATCAAGCGATATATATCTCAAGCAGGAATGCGGCTCCACAAGTGGATGTCTAACGACCACGATTTAGTCAACTTCATAGAGGATGGGAACGTGGCGAAGAGGAATGCAAATGCCGAACTTCTGCAGCCACCAAGGTATTGGGAGTAGGTTGGAATGCTCATACAGACAACTTCGAGTACAATCTGACCTCACTTCTTGAATTCCTCACCACAAGAGCCGACAGCAAGAGATTCGTATTGCAAGTCTCAGCCAGAATTTTCGACCCCTTGGGTTTATCGCTCCTACAACACTGTACGTAAAGACAATGTTCCAAAGGTTGTGGGAGTTGGGAGCGGGTTGGGACGACCCCTTGCCAGAATTGATGCAAGCGGAGTGGAAGTGCTGGTGTGAAGAGCTTCAATGCATCAAGGCGGTGTCCATTCCGAGGATCATCGCAAGGGATTTCCGAGATGAAAAGACAGAGAAGGTGTTGCACATTTTCTGCGATGCCAGCCAAAGGCCTACGGTGCTGTCGGATACGTTGCATGCAAGTCTGCTCAAGGAATAATCAATATAAGCCTAATTATGGCCAAATCAAGAGTTGCCCCTTTGAAGCGCCTCTCGTTACCCCGACTAGAGCTGAGGGGGGCCTCATTGGTGCTCGACTGTGCCACTACGTTGCCAAGGCCTTGAACCTCCAGAATGCTGCTGCCATCCTTTGGACCGATTCCACAGTGGCTATGCACTGGATTAAAGGAAACGCTGCCAGATGGAAGCCCTTCGTGGCAAACCGAGTATCAGAGGTTCAGGCGCTGACTGATCCCGAGCCGCAAAAATTTGGTGCGAGAGCGATCGGCGCGGAGAGGGCCCTTTCGGCGGATCTCGCCGCCGCCGAACCGGATTCGAAGCACTTTCGGCGGGCCGGAATGCTCAGTGTGAACGCGGCCTTTAGTCCTCTCGCTTCGGCCTCGCCAGTTTCAGACGCAGTTGCAGGTTTTTGGTTCTCTATTTCAGGCTGCTCCTTCTTCGAGCGTGTGTCCAGTTCGAGCTGTTTTTGTTTCTCGCACGTCTCGAGCACAAGCTGCTCCTTCTGGGCCTTCTGTTTCAGTTCCCTTCCAAACTCAATTTCCTCTTCTCTCTCTTTGCGAATGCGCCTCTCGCATTCCACACACCAAGCCACCATTTCCTCGCCACTTAGACCCATGCGTCTTGCCAACTCCTTTAGGTCTGCCCTACTCATGTTCCTGTACTAGTGTGGAGAGGTAAGTCGAAAATGGTCTCGTCCTGTCGCTTGACGCCAATTCTCACGAGGCTGCTTTATGGGAAAGCTCTCGTATAGATTCGTTTTAAAGCAAAAAAAACCACTGTTGACATAACCGTCATCGGGAAATGAGCTGACGAGACTATTTGCTTCCACACAAATCCCAACCACTCAGCATTGTTATAGACACCTAAAAGACAAATAGCTGACAAAAACACAGCATAGATAACTAGAAAGAGGTTAGCAAGAAGAACAAACGGCTAAAGACGTGAACAGAGCATGGACATCAATGTTCAGGGGAAAATAAGCCTTGTCACAACATAGCAGGACGCGGTGCTTGCAGCGAAGGCTGTGCTACCAAGGCATGGACGCACTCACGCAAACGATGACAGCGGCGATGCGGGGCTTGCAACTGATGCGACCGAGTAACGGTGAAGACGCACTCGTGCAGCAGGGAAAGAATGGCGATTAGCTTGAGACGCTCACGGGGTTGACTGGCACGGAAGGAAGAGTCGGGCTGGTCGAAGTCCGTGACCTTTCGGCGTTCGGCAGCGGCAGCTCGGACACCAAGCCGGAGATGTTTCTTGGCCAACGCCAGAAGACAAGAACCAGCCTGGCCCTCGTCAGGCGACGAGAAGAAGCTCTGTGCCCAGGTTGGAGCCCACTGGGACCTTGATGCAGGAGCTTTGCTGGCCTCCACTCGCTCGCCCTGGCTACCTTTTTCACTCAGTTCCGACTCGGCCACGTCTGCGTATAGCTTGACTGTTCTTCTCCAGTGGCTCTTCTAAATCTCATTGGAGGGACCTCATCGGACCAAAATGTTCACGCCCACACTTGCCGCAACCGAGTGTTATCTTCATCGTCTTCTGGCTGATGGAGTGGCGCACTTTTTAAACGCGCACAATCACATCACAGCCACCAAGGCGAAGCAATGAACGCAATAGCTGTTGTATTTGTCGCATACTGGGAAGCAGCCCCCGCTTCGGGGGAGCGTTAATTGAAAGACTCCGCGGCGAAGAGGGGGAGGAGGGGCAACTCGGAGGGACTCGTCTCCGGGTGGTTCGCGTGACGGGCAATGCGAAAGGAGCGAAGGGCGTCCTTGACATCTGTTTTTACCTACAAGCCCAGCCGTGAAGGGAAAAGGGGGGTGAGGGCCACAATGACCCTTCTCGAACACGCGGAAGCGTTTGTCCATCTGTCCTTGAAGACCGTCGCACGTGCGGGGTGCGGAGGAAACTCTTTGACAATACTTGTGCTTCTCTGTTTGCTTTTCCTTTTTTTCTTCCCCTCTCTACGACAGCGGTACATAGTGAACGAATAAAACCAGTCTTCGTGATGCGTTCAAACTGAAAGGACGTGTTTTTTCTCTGTCGTCGTCTCACTAGAAAAAGTCTGCCTCCCTGCTATTCCGCCACAACATTTTTTGGTGCCAAACCCGGGAATTAGGGACCCAAAGATGGACATCGACAGGATGAAGCGCAAAAGGGCCGTGGTGCGAACGTCAACAACAAAGCTGCTCAATGACATCGCTACCATGGAGGACGACGCGTCACTCGGTGAGCTTGAAGAAAAGATCAACCTTCTCACCCTTAATGAAGACTCACTCAAAGAGCTAGATCGGGAAATTGAGATTGGCGTAGAAGATGATGCATTAGAAGAGGAAATTGCATGCTCCGAGAACTACAAAGAAAAGATCAACGTAGCAAGGACTAAAGTACAGCTCATGCTACGTGAGCGTAGCTGCACTAACGCCGCATCAGTGAGCGCTTCGCTAGATCGCACCTCAAGTTCCTCAGATCAAAGAGAATCTAGCCGTAACATCCCGCAAGTAACCCCCACAGTAAAGCTGCCAAAACTAGAGATAGCAAAGTTCAACGGCGAGCTTCGACAGTGGCAAGGCTTTTGGAGTCAGTTCGACACGACAATAAACGCTAACCACCACCTGTCAAACGTGGACAAGTTCAAGTACCTGAACAGTTACTTAACAGGAAAAGCTGCGGCTGCTGTTGCGGGTCTTGATTTGTCCGACGGAAACTACGAAGTTGCTCTCTCGCTGTTAAAGGAAAGGTTCGGTCGTAAAGAAGCCATAATCGAGGATCAAATGTCCAGACTGCTCAATATCAAGTCAGTGCGTGACTCGCGGAACCTCAGCCAACTTCGGAGCCTCGTTGACGAAGTAGAGAGAGGTGTACGGAGCCTCACTTCTCTTGGCGTCGGTGTCAGCACGTACGGAGCTCTGCTCCTGACAGTAGTAAAGACGGCGGTGCCTGCGGACCTTCATCTCGAATACTGTCGACGAAAGGGCGCTACTACAGGAGGCAGTGAACTGGAGGCATTTGCGCATTTTTTGAGAGTCGAGGTAGAGGCACGGGAGATTATACAGCGGGCCGAAACACCAAGGGGCATGTGTGTAGAATCGTCTGTCGAAAACCGTAACAGCACCTTTAAAGCGGCGAGAATGTCTTCAGCCGCTGCACTGCATACCATGACCAAGGAGAGAAAAGGGTGTCTGTTTTGTTCGTCAGGGTGCCACGAAAGCGGTGACTGCGATGCAGAGATGTCGGCAGCTGATAAAAGAGAAATGCTGAAGCGTGAGAATAGATGTTCCGCTGCACAGTAAAGGGGCCACACGTCAAGAGAGTGCCGTAAGGCCAAATGGCTCAGGTGTGCCAACTGTAGCGGAAAACACCTCACGGCTATGTGTGATCCTGATTTCAGAGAATACCGTGGCAGTGGTGAACAGAATGCATCCTCTCCAACAGCGACAGGACAAGCCACAGTGCTAAAGTCTTCTCTAGGCTCAGAGGAGAATTTATGTGCATGGAGGGGCATCAGTTTCTTCTGCAAACAGCACGAGCTTGGACAGTGGGACCGCACAAAAGTACGCTTGTCAGGCTTCTCCTAGATGGTGGCAGTCAAAGGACGTTCATCCATCGCAAGTTGTCTGAAAGACTGCAGTTGAACGTGCTTGGGGAAGAGGAACTTAAAATCTATGCCTTCGGCGACAAGTCCGCTATAACCCGCACTAAAGCGCGTCTGGTCGAGCTGTGGCTGCAAAGCCAGTACGACGGGAAAAGGGCGCGAGTGGAGGCCCTCGAAGTTCCCTGCATCTGCGCAGATATAATGGCTGCGCCTTTAAAGTCAGTTCTTCTGGAACTTTCGAAATTTGGCTTGCCAGTCGCGGACCGTCGCGCAGGGTGACGGAAGTGAAAACATTGATCTTCTGATCGGCGCTGATCATTATTGGGAAATTGTCACGGGATCCACTAAGCGCCTAACCTCCAAGCTGATGGCAGTAGAAACTGCATTTGGGTGGACAGTCCAGGGCCAGGTAGGCGCAAAAAGGTCACCAGGAGTCTGTCCCTCTGTTGCTGGCGTAATGCGAGTAGCAGTGAGCGAACAAACTAACAAAGAAATATCAGCACAGTTGAGGTCATTCTGGGAGCTCGAACACATTGGTATCCAGGAACACGAACCAGCTCGCCACCAAGACGCAATCCAACAGCACTACAAAGAAACCGTCAAATTTGAGCATGGGCGGTACACAGTGTCTTTCCCCTGGAAGCCTATGGTTGATGAGCTCGACGACAACTACGAGTGCGCCGCGAAGCGTCTTAGAGCCAACACGACGCGCCTTTTGAAGGGAGATTCCTTGATCGTGGAATATGACGCCTGCCTCCGAGAATACATCGAAAGGGCTATGCAGAGCCAGCCAACAAGCATTGCAGCGCTTCGGAAGGTCCGGTGTATTACATGCCACATCAAGCAGTTGTTCGACAAGAAAGCCTGACAACAAAAGTGAGGGTGGTGTTCGACGCATCATCAAGTGCCAAAGATCGCCTCTCACTGAATGATGTTTTGGAAAGTGGTCCAAAACTTAATCCAGAGCTCATTGATTTGTTGATCAACTTCCGCACTTACAACATCGGCATCGTCGCGGATATTGAAAAGGCATTCCTTCAAATATCTCTGTCAGAGGGTGACCGGAACGCTGTGCGGTTTCTCTGGTATGCTGCCACTCCGAAGAAAGGTGAAGAACTTCCAGCGGTGGCGGCCTACCGGATGACGCGCGTTCCGTTCGGTGTTACATCCAGCCCATTCCTATTAGCCGCAACATTACGACACCATCTTGAAGGACTCCCAGAGCCGTATGCTGAGACTGCGAACATCCTGCGCAGCCATCTCTATGTTGACGACCTTGTGACAGGGGTCGACACCCTCGAACAGGGTAAAGTGCTATGCCAGGAATCAAGCGATATATTATCTCAAGCAGGAATGCGGCTCCACAAGTGGATGTCTAACGACCACGATTTAGTCAACTTCATAGAGGATGGGAACGTGGCGAAGAGGAATGCAAATGCCGAACTTCCTGCAGCCACCAAGGTATTGGGAGTAGGTTGGAATGCTCATACAGACAACTTCGAGTACAATCTGACCTCACTTCTTGAATTCCTCACCACAAGAGCCGACAGCAAGAGATTCGTATTGCAAGTCTCAGCCAGAATTTTCGACCCCTTTGGGTTTATCGCTCCTACAACACTGTACGTAAGACAATGTTCCAAAGGTTGTGGGAGTTGGGAGCGGGTTGGGACGACCCCTTGCCAGAATTGATGCAAGCGGAGTGGAAGTGCTGGTGTGAAGAGCTTCAATGCATCAAGGCGGTGTCCATTCCGAGGATCATCGCAAGGGATTTCCGAGATGAAAAGACAGAGAAGGTGTTGCACATTTTCTGCGATGCCAGCCCAAAGGCCTACGGTGCTGTCGGATACGTTGCATGCAAGTCTGCTCAAGGAATAATCAATATAAGCCTAATTATGGCCAAATCAAGAGTTGCCCCTTTGAAGCGCCTCTCGTTACCCCGACTAGAGCTGATGGGGGCCCTCATTGGTGCTCGACTGTGCCACTACGTTGCCAAGGCCTTGAACCTCCAGAATGCTGCTGCCATCCTTTGGACCGATTCCACAGTGGCTATGCACTGGATTAAAGGAAACGCTGCCAGATGGAAGCCCTTCGTGGCAAACCGAGTATCAGAGGTTCAGGCGCTGACTGATCCCGAGGATTGGAGGCACTGCCCAGGACTAGACAACCCCGCTGACCTAATCACTCGCGGTATCCTCCCATCAGCCTTGTTAGAAAGCGAATTGTGGTGGAGAGGACCACACTGGCTTCACAAGGATAAGACGCATTGGCCAACGACCGGTGAGCAGAGCCCAGGGGCAGTAGAATGTCACCTGGAAGAGCGAAAAGTGACGGTGATGCCCGTAATATCATCGCCGTTCGAGGCAGTGCTGAAAGTAGAGGAGTTCAGCTCATGCAGCAGAGTCGTGCGCTTAACTGCGTGGGTCCGCCGCTTTGTCAACAATTGCCGCCGCTGGAAGGAAAGGAAAGGTGGTCCGCTACGAGCTGAAGAGGTGATCGATGCTGAGAGGTACTGGTTGGCAACAACTCAAGGAGAAGCATTCAGTGACATTTCCAACTTGAAAGCCCAAAGACCACTGCACAAAGGCTCTCCTGTTCTGCCACTCAGTCCGTACCTTGACGGGGAAGGTCTCATGCGAGTTGGTGGACGCTTGCAATTCACCGACAACCACGAAGAGACTAAACATCCCATCATTCTACCTAGCACTCATCCCTTCACGCTACTGCTCATAAGGAAAGAGCACGTGAGAATGCTACACTCAGGGGTGCGCGACACCTTGGCGTCATTGCGAGAGTCGTATTGGATCATCCGAGGGCGCCAGGCCGTAAAAAAGGTTATCAAGCAGTGCCTCATCTGTCGCAAACAAAGTTGCCCTCAAGCCACGGAACCAGTGGCACCACTTCCAGCTGACAGAGTAACAGAAGGAAATCCGTTCGACACTGTCGGCATCGATTTCGCAGGACCTTTGATTTGTCAAGAGTCGCGCGGTGCCCGAAAATGTTACATCGCAATTTTAACCTGCGCTGTGACACGTGCCGTCCATCTTGAGCTCGTTAGCGACATGTCGACTACAGCCTTTCTCCTGGCTTTCAAGCGCTTCGTGGCTCGCAGGGGAATCTGCTCGACTATTTATTCGGACAACGCGCTAACCTTCAAGAGAGCAGCAAAAGATCTGAATGCAATGTTCACGCTACTAAAATCAGAGGAAATGCAGTCATACTTCGCCGGAAACCAGATCAGGTGGAAGTTTATTGTTGAAAGGGCAGCTTGGTGGGGCGGATTCTGGGAACGGTTGGTGCGATCGGTGAAGGTAGCGTTGCGCAAGGTGTTAGGTCGGAGCAGTTTAAGCTTTGAAGAACTCACAACTGTCTTGTACGAAGTCGAGGCCGTAATAAACTCACGCCCATTGACTTTCACCTACGATGATGCTCAAGAGCCAGAACCACTGTCGCCGGCGCACTTCCTCGTCGGAAGAAAGCTGACAACCCTTCCTCCACACCACCTGCCAGCCGAAATTCCGGGCGGTTGACGCGCATATCTCACGACGCTGGAAGTACCGGTCTGCCATGGCTGAAGGATTCTGGAGACGGTGGCGGAGAGAGTAACTTATTGGAGCTTCGATCGGCGCATCTGTCCCGGCCAACGACATCGAGTGACCTAAAGATAGACGATTTAGTTCTTTTAAAGGAAGATCATCTCAAACGACACATGTGGAAGATCGCCAGAATCAAGGAAACGTTCAAGGGCAGGGACGGCAGGGTGCGGGCCTGCAGTTTGAAACTAAGCGGGGGAACGGTGGTGAAACGACCAATACAGCTGCTTTATCCGCTAGAAGTCGACCGACACTGAGCTCAAGAGTTCGCTCATCCGGGGAGGTTGTTGTATTTGTCGCATACTGGGAAGCAGCCCCCGCTTCGGGGGAGCGTTAATTGAAAGACTCCGCGGCGAAGAGGGGGAGGAGGGGCAACTCGGAGGGACTCGTCTCCGGGTGGTTCGCGTGACGGGCAATGCGAAAGGAGCGAAGGGCGTCCTTGACATCTGTTTTTACCTACAAGCCCAGCCGTGAAGGGAAAAGGGGGGTGAGGGCCACAATGACCCTTCTCGAACACGCGGAAAGCGTTTTGTCCATCTGTCCTTGAAGACCGTCGCACGTGCGGGGTGCGGAGGAAACTCTTTGACAATACTTGTGCTTCTCTGTTTGCTTTTCCTTTTTTTCTTCCCCTCTCTACGACAGCGGTACATAGTGAACGAATAAACCAGTCTTCGTGATGCGTTCAAACTGAAAGGACGTGTTTTTTCTCTGTCGTCGTCTCACTAGAAAAAGTCTGCCTCCCTGCTATTCCGCCACAACAATAGCAACAATTTGGAAGGTCACGCGCAGAATGGAAAGCAGATGTAAACGTGCCCCGTGTTTCTCATGCATAAATGACGCACGAAACGTACTCACCGATACAGATGCACGCGAATAATCATCTGTGTTGTTACTTCACTGTACCTGAAAACCGCGTGTTTTTTTTTTTTTTTTTGCAGACGGAGACTACAATGATTGCAGCGGCCTTTGTGAGTCTGGTATCTACAACGGAATTGTTCCGGCTAAAGCCAAAGGCCAGCCAAGACGTACGATCCTCCCTTTCTCTTCATTGCGAGAAAGGGGCATGCTTGAGAACGTCACTCTTCTTCTCTAAGCGGGACAAATTACGCGGGGGAGATCACAGCGCGCGCCACCGCGCGATGTGGCGACACGCGCTCATTGCGCTATCTTTGCGGTGATGCTGAGAACAAGACAATTACGCCCCAGCCCTCCGAAATTCCCGTGAGCAGCGGTAAATGGTAGATATAAATAGCTTGTCATTTGAAAAGCGAAGGAGTGCTTCTAGGTGGCTCTGTGGTCAATGCCTTGCACTGACGATTAAGAGGTACCGAGTTCGATTCCACACGCTGAGTCTTTTTTGATGCTAGCGCGCGCCGCGATGATGTCACCCTGGGAGAGGAGGTTAGTGAACGTGCGCGCAGTGATCCATGCGGCGACGCACATTACTATTCCTTTACCGCCGCGGGAGGAGAGCGCGCGCGCCCGCGGCGCCCGAGGTCTCCGACGGCGCCCGAGTGCCGCACGCAACGTCTGCTTCTCGCCGTCCAGTATACGCCCATGACAGGGCTAGGAGGCTTCACGTCCCAGGGCCAACGTCGGATCAGCCAGGCAGGTGGCTTCACCCTGTGCAAGCCGTATGAAGTTATTTCCATCCATCTCGCCGACTCCACTGTGCTACTTGATGCAGCTACGAAAGTTTTTTACCGGCGTGATTTGTCAAAACGAAATGAAGCAAGTAGAACTTCTTCGTGCCAGCGTTTTTAAATATATATGGTGGATCCAATGCTCTGCGGATAAATAAAAAAATGAAGTGGTAGAATTAAAAAAAAACAAACGATTTGTAATCGTAGCTAGGCGCATGCCTAAAATCACTCATTGTGTAGCTTGAGGATATATTTCGCACATTCTTTCATATAAAAGTGTCATGCAGAACTACTGGTCGCAAAAGAAAGACAGACATTGATGAAGCACGTTTGAGCAGACGGCAATTGATTTGAAAGAAGAGCGGAGACTGCCTCGAACTGTGAATCAGTTCTGCGTAAAAAGTAAAAAGTTTGATCTTTTAATGATTTTTCTGACCAAGAACAGTAGCAACAATGGGCGAGGGCTATGTGAAGAGAAGATGGACAATGAGATGGACGCGACTGCGTCTAGGAAAGTTATTTTCGCAGCAGAGTGGTAAGCAGGCGCGACACTACGCTAAGTTCAAATTTACAGACATCCGTGACCAGCCAAAAGTCTTGTGACTCGCTACCTTGTGACGCCTTAAGTTTTTGAGTGGAGATTTCACTTATTTGTGCCCAGAAATGAAGCCAAAAATTAGCAGGAGTATCGCTGAAATTACCGATAATATCAGCGCCAACAAGCGAAGGTAGAGGATACTCATCATGAGTCAGAAGTCTTCGGCGAATATTTTACCAACCTCCAAACTTCCAGGTAAGACACATCGCGAAAAAAGCATGGTTCTCAGCTTTACGCGTTTGGTGTTGTAGCTTGGCAAGAATAATTGGTTCTCAGGAAGTTCCAAAAATAAAACAAACTTCGGAAGAGAGCAGACACTGAGAAAAAGGTTTTTTCGGTTATTTTTCGTTTCTATTTCTTCGTTTTTTATTTTAATATAAAAAGCTTCTCCTGTATGTTTTCTTTATTGCCGCATATTGTATGCCGTGTTCCCACAAATATTTCTTCTCTCGCATGCGAAGGTGAAGGAGTGAAAGCGAACCTGTTTAGTGCTTGTGGAATACTTCGCGAAACTATCGTGGTATGGTTTCCCACCCAAGGCTATCTGGCTAGGTTAGCGAAAACTCGTCGTAACGATTTGCCGTGTCGTTTAGCTAGTGTATCTGAGCTATGCACTGATACACTTAGCAGCGAGCACAAGCGTGCAAGCAGACAACGCTTCTCACGTCTGCTGCTCCGGCGCGGCAGTTCAGCCGCTGTTCCGTAGGTGACGCTGTCACGACATTCACCGTAAGATCCCTAGATGAAACAACTTTCCAAGGTAGCGTTACTCATTGCTCTCGAGCCATCCTCCTGACTTTGTCGATTACTCCTCTTTTTCTCTGCCATCCGCGTCTGTGATTGGTGCATTCCTTGCACGTGATCTTGCAAATGACTGGTGATGTTATTTATTATTATGCAAAAGGCTCAAAACGAGTACGCATACGCAACTGGCTCCAGCCGAATCGTCACCTTGTCCAAAGACGAAATCGTAGCCAGGACATGAACCAAAGAGGAGGAGCATTTCAGTGTGCTCCAAGTCGATCGAGATCGTTTCGCGGTGCTCGGTAAATGCAATATCATCGTTTTTCAACACTGCTGCGTTGCCGTTAAACAACAAAAAACGGTTTTGCTTTCTTCAACTTACCTTGTGCTATCCGAAATGAAGCACGCCGTGATGTATAGCTCTGAAACACTTCACTCGAATGATTTCTTGCAACTCCATCAACGTACGTCGACGCAAATCTGCAAAGCCAGTTTATTTGTCGGTTTTTATTAAAACGGCAGGCGCGCGTTTAGGGCACGCCATTCGGTACAAACACTTGTGCGTATGCATGTATACAGAGCAGCTGGAGGGTGTAATCAATGCACTTTCTGAAACATCTCACGCTGGACCAGTTCACGCATGAACCGAAGCACACTGCTTCGAGACCCCTCACCAGTAGAGCTCTCACTTTTCAGGAAGTACCGAACACCGCATCAGCATCACCTGACATCACAATTGTCCTAATGGGCACTATGAAAAAAGCATCGTCGCAGAGCTGCTAGTAAAGCATTCGTACAAGTCTGCCCGTAGCTCTTGCATGCGTGTGCACAAGCCGGCTGTAATCACTCGTCCCAACGTCATGCCCTATGGTCACTGACAGGATCCAGCAAGAAGCGTGTTCACTGTGTCACATCACGAACAAAATACATTCAGAGAACAGGACAAACTACGATGAACGACGCGAGACGCCATGACTAGTGGTGTAAAATATAGAACTGCACAACGTTGCCAGTTGAGTACCACACATCCGGCTTGCTCTTGTGTTGTACCGTTTATGTTCATAAAGGTAACCATTTATTCTACGACTGATTTCGTTCTATTTTGTGTCATTTACATCTATTGACCATAGCAATTGAACCCAAACATTCGCTGTTTGATGAAAGTTTTGAACCTTTTAGGGGGCGCTTCAGGAACATAGGCGAGGAGGAAAGGGAAAGGTGTCACTACCTTGGAAACTTGTTTCATATAGGGACCTTCGTTCGCCGCCGCTCCGGAGGTGACACAATCGCGGTGCGGAAAGAAGCCGAGTTTCCTCTCCTGTCTATTCTTTCTCCGTGGCCGATGCCGACACTGGCTGCTAAACCCGCCAAGATAGTCCATATAATACACTGCTGGCTGGTAGATGGCAGGCAGTTGTAGAAAATCAGATGGGGGGATGCTATTCAGGATCGCCCGAGTTTCTCGCGAGTTTCGCGAAACTCTGGATTTTTCTGAGCTCTGGCGGCACCCCCTTTTCAATGAGACAACAGTAAGAAATAGTAAAATTCACCCCTCAGCGCGCAGCGTTTTATTGGCTACGATGGAGCCAGTCGTCACGTCAAGGATGGTCGACTAAGTTCAGTGGTGTTTTCAAAACAGAGGCATCGTCTTTCATTTGTTAGTCGTTCCAGTGAGTGCACAAGTGCACCCATGCTATAAAAGTGCCAGAAACATTTAGTAATGATACATTTGAGTGGCACGTGGGGTTTGAATTTTTATTGAAGCTTTTATTGCCTGCACTGTGTTTTAAAATAATCAGCCCAACGGCCTATGAGATTAGCAGCGTTTTACATAACCGCGACCGCAGCTACACCTGAGGCCAATTGTTCACTCGTGCATGGTCAGCCAGGTGTACATTCGAGCGTGCTGCTCGGCTGGTGCGCGTCTTTCTTGACATCGTGCGCTAGCACCC